AAAGTTGAAGTTGTGGTTTGAGTTGTGTTTCATTTTCTGATTTGCAGGTTGTGATACTTCTAAGAGGTGAAAATTACTTCCGGGGGTGTTCAAAAGAATGTCAAAAACGTTATCTCCAACGAACTTTCTCAGAAGAGCTCTTGGATGCAGAAGAATACAGCTCAACAAAGTGTTTCAGTGATCTCAATCGACATAAGGAAGTTGCTTTGGGTTCCTGAAATCAGTAGTCAAACTATAAAAAATATGCGGTTATACCATGGTTTTAAATATCAGCCGTTATTCATTAATAGATCGGTCAATACTGTCCAATACAAATATTTGATTGTATCGCCAATTCTGATACATATCCAAATACTGTTATTTAAAACCATGGTTGTGACCAGTTTCCGGTGACTTTAGTAATTACAAGGGGCATTTTGAAGTCATATGGAAATGAATGTCTTGGTTCTTGGGGACCTTGCAGGATCTCGTGAATATTGTTTAGAGAAGGCCAAATGCATATTGTATGGAGAAGGTCAAATGCATTCGAACTGGATCTGAGTGTTTTGAAATGCAATGGAACTCAAATCTGCTGGTATTACAGTTTTTTTTTTTTTTTTTTTTTTATTACAATTTTAACCTTAAGTGAAATAACTATAAAGGACAAGTTATGATGCTCCCCATTTGTGTATTTACCATAAAGGACAAGAATGAATATAATATAAATCATCAATTTCAAACTTGTTCCTTACGTATCTTCTTTGTCAAGAATACAAAAACCCTAAAATCAAAACCAAAAACTCTTCAACAAATAATCAAAAATATAGTATTATTGAAGATTTTGAATGGATTCAATGAAGGATGCATCTGGCAACTTTGATTCGCAACAATGGAGCAAAGAAGAGGTTATTTTTTTGTTGTTTTTGTTTTTGTTTTCGTTACTTGCTGAGTGGTAAATAGTTGGTACAGTTCGGGTAACCAGAGGTGGATATTATATCATTGTTCAACATACTACGGTCGAACAAAATGCCTCTGTTTAACATACTACGGTCAAACAACGTGTCTTTGTTCAACATATTAAGGTCGAACAAAATGCCTTTGTTCAACATACTACCGTCGAACAAAAATGCTTTGTTTAATATACTACGGTTGAACTAAATGCCTTTGTTCAACATACTACACTCGAACTTTATTTGTATATTCGGTTAACAAAAATCGAGCAATTTCATTTAATTCGACTATGTATTGCTGAACATTTACAAATTTTTTATTTTATTTTATTTTATTTTATTTTATTATTATTTTTTTTTTCCAGAACGGAGCATCCGTGGAATGCACTAATGTTGGATCTGGGGGTCTTGTTGACTACACGAGTCAATTTATTACTAATGAGGTAGTCTCATGTCGAAAATTAGTATTTTTTTTTCTTTTTCTTTTCAGATGTTTAATGACTTTGTTGAATTTGACTTGTAGGTTTTCAAGAGCAAAGAAGAATTACTTGGTTGGGTACGGGACGTCGGAAGGAAAAATGGGTTTGTGATTGTCATTAAGACATCAGACTATGGTGGTGGTCATAGGACACCAAGGATATTTCTTGCCTGTGAGAGAAGTGGTCAATACAGAGCTCATAAGAAATTAGAAGGAGATGATTCGAGCAAAAAAATTGTGAAGATAACAGGTACAAAGAAATGTGGGTGTCCTTTTGAGTTAAGGGCTCGTAAGTTGATGGCTAATGATGATTGGTTGGTAGATGTAGCATGTGGAATGCATAACCATGCTCCTGCTAAACATTTTGAAGAACATTCATTTGCAGGGAGATTATCTGAGGAGGAAACATCATTATTAGTGGATATATCCAAAAGCATGGTCAGACCGAAAGAGATTTTGGTTACATTGAAACGAAAGGATGCTTTGAATGTAACCACTATGAAAACCATTTACAATGTACGTCATAGGAATAATGTTATTGAGAAAGCTGGGAGATCACAAATGCAACATTTGTTGGGTGAGTTAGAAAAGCATAATTACATTAAGCGGCATAGGTGTGACAACAACACGATGACTGTCACAGACTTGTTTTGGGCACATCCTGTCAGTTTAGATTTGCTCCGTTCATTTCCAAAGGTGTTGATCATGGACTGCACATATAAGACAAATCGATATCGTCTTCCTCTTCTTGAGATAGTTGGAGTGACATCCACTGATATGTCATTCTCCGTAGCCTTTGCATATCTCCAATTTGAGAGGATTGATAACTACGTTTGGGTGTTAACTACATTGTGTAGTCTCTTGGATGACATTGCTATTCCTGAGGTGATTGTCACGGACAGGAAGCTTGCTTTGATGAATGCTATTGACAGGGTATTTTCTACATCTCGACATTTATTATGCAGATGGCATATTAGTAAAAATGTACTGGCAAAATGCAAGAAAATGTTTAAGAGTAAGGAGGAATGGGACAAGTTTATCTCTTTATGGAATTTCTTAGTACTCTCCTCAACTGAGCTTGAATACAATGAACATCTTGCTAGGCTACTTACGGATTTTGATACATATCCTGAGGCAGTGCAATATGTGTCACAAAGTTGGTTAATTCCATATAAGGATAAGTTTGTTGCCGTATGGACAGATAATTGTATGCACTTCGGGAATGTTACAACCAATAGGTAATATATATTTGTCTACCTTACACTATTACGCATTATGATTTTGATTATTTAAACTTGATTATGTTAATTGTTTCCATTGTACATAGGGCTGAAAGTGCACATGCAAAACTGAAATGGCAACTTGGTTCTAACCAAGTAAATTTTGAGTGTTCTTGGACCAAGATCCATAGTTTGCTTGAGTTGCAGCATGTTGATATTAAGGCATCGTTTGAGAAGACTTTAACCATTGTACAACACCAGTTCAAACCATTCCATTTTAGAGAGCTCCGAGGCAATATCTCTATTACTGCATTAGATCATGTCTTAGCGGAGAGTAAGCGAGCGAATGATGTTGGCATTGATGCTTCAGTATGTAGATGTATTGTTCGACGAACACACGGGTTACCATGTGCCCATGAGATTGCGGATTACATCCGGCAGGGTCGTCCAATACCACTTGATAGCATTAACCCACACTAGAGGACTCTTGAGATAGTACAAAAGTTGAAGAATGATAAAGTCGGATTGAGGTGTGAACCAAAATTTGATCTCATACTTAAGCGATTCAATGCATCTGATTACATTACACAGTTGGAAATTCTGCATAAGTTAGGAGAGATTGCAGATCCGCAAAGTAGTTTTCTCATTGAGCCGGATGTGAAGCCCAACCCTCGAGGTATGGGACACAAGAAGATAGATGTATCTACGCGCCGAGACCCATGTGCATTTGAGCTAGTTCAGTCTGGACATGATAGCCACTCACCTATGGGCACCCAGATCCCCACACAAGATTCTGTCAAAGTACATAAAAAACGGCCTGCCAAAGAGCAGGTACATGTAATCATTTTTTACTTACATTTTTGTTTATGATAAATTACGTATTTTGTTGTTCATGTGTTGATGTCTTTCCTGTTGAATAGGTATATCGGACGCGTACAAGTACAACTTATTCATATGTTGATGCCCTTCCAGTTGGATTGAAGCCTTACATACGTCTTATCAAGGATGTAGATGCCGATGGCAATTGCGGGTTTAGGGCCATTGCTGGCTTAATGGGGCTTACAGAGGCTAAATGGGGTCAAGTCAGGCGTGATCTCCTATAGGAATTGCACACACACGTAGACCATTACACTCATCTATATGGTTCACATGGCAGGATTGAAGAGCTGACCCATATTCTATCATACTTTAAGCCCAATCCAGGGTATCACCGTTAGATGACTATGCCTGACATGGGTCATCTTATTGCATCTTGTTATAATGTGGTATTGTACCACTTATCTGCACAACAATGCCTTACATTCCTCCCCCTACGATCAGTGCCAATATCACAAGTTCAACAGCGTGAGATTGCTATTGGGTTTGTTAATGGGAATCATTTTGTCCAGGTACAGCATTATGATTTGTGTAAAACATTTATCATTTTGTATTGCATCGCTCTCATACTTATATCTGTGTCAATGTAGGTGTTCATGTTACCGGGTCATCTAGTTCCACCAATAGATACCAATTGGTGTAAGTTTCATCATTCTTGTGCGGCTGGATGGGATACTGCATATAGTCGCCGAATTGAGCATTTTAAACAAGTTGTTCATTCAGGGGTAGCTACTAGAGAGACATTTGATTGTATTAACCTCGATGAGTAATGATGTATGTCAGTTGAGTTGTAGTGATGCAATTTAAATAGTTACCGATACATTTTTGTGGATTAGCATTTAAATAGTTGAGTTGGATTAAGCTTTGAGTTAATTTAATGCACATGGTAGTACTTGTTCATTGCGGTGTATCAAATGCATTGGCACAATACTTCCCGTTGATTACCAAAAATACAAACCATGAATACTTGTTCGTTACAAAATATTGGTAGAGTAATTTTTGTTCATTACAAAACAAAAGATAGGGTAGAGCTAGGACAGTTATTGCATGAAGTCCACCCAATGCTAGATGCAGAGGTGCATAATAAAAACGTGGCCGTCCTGTTGAACACTTTCAGGGAACCAATTCAACCTTTGTAATTTTAGTCAACGCTACGTGCATGTTTGGTGCAACTTCGCTCAAGCTAAAAGCTAAAAATTAAAAACTAAAGTTAAAAGCACCTTTATCTCAGCTTTCAAATAATCAAAATTTTCAGCTTATTTAAGTTATTTCTATCTCATAAACTATAAGCAGAAGTTACAATAAACATTTTGGCACAAATTTTCAAATTAAAAAAGCTATAAGTAGCTCAAATAAGCTACATTGAAGAGGTACATTATTACATGGTAGTGATTTATGGCTGACAGGAAATGTAATAATGGATTTATAGCTAGTTCTAAGTTGGAATCTTTAGATATAATTACTTCTGAAAGCATGGGACAGTGTCAATCTGCATTAATGAAGGAGAAAATTTGGAAGCTTACATAGTTCCAGCAATCCTGGTGCTAATGTGGGTATTCTCATCTTCAGTAAGCTTAGCCAAACCAAAGTCAGAGATCTTAGGGTTAAGATTTCCATCAAGTAGTACGTTGGTAGCCTTGATGTCCCTATGAACTATTTTCAGTCTTGATTCCTCTTAAAGGAATGCCAAACCTCTTGCAATGCCAATACAAATACTTAGCCTGGTAGGCCAATCCAATTTCAATTGGCACTCCCCTGGACTTGTAATTAAAAAGAAATATCAAACTAGGAAGGGGAAAAAACAGATCAGAAAAGAAAAAGAAGATCCAACTTAATAATAGTTATTACTAGAAGCCGTAAGTAAATTACCAAACAAAGCTCGGGCAAGACTATTATTTTCCATGTATTCATATACCAGGAGTAGTTGATTCCCTTCAATACAACATCCGTACAATCTTACTAAATTTGGATGCTGTAAACCCAAGATCGTGCCAATCTCATTAACAAATTCACGATTTCCTTGCTTTGATTTTGAAGAAAGTTGCTTAACTGCAATTACAGTACCATCTAATAGTATACCCTGCATCGAAATAACATCGTCTGTTTTTAGTAACCCTCCCTCGACATGGGATTGACATCTCCATGTCATACATAGCATAAACAAAAAACTAACATGACTATGACAAGGTAACAACTACAATTGATTGCAATATACCTTATAAACAGATCTAAAACCACCTTCCCCAATTTTGTTGTTGTCATCAAAGTTGTTAGTGGCAGCTTTAATTTGTTGAAAGGCAAATAAACCAGTTTTTAATTCTAATCCTCTTAGAGCTGCAGAAGAACAAGTTGAGATATTTAACTGCATCATCTTATCATCAAAGCACCGACTTTGCTTTTTGGCCAAGTATTTAGGTGCCCATTCTAAAAAATGTGACATTTGAAATAAAAAGATCAAGAAATTAAAGAGCAAAAAACTGATGCTTAGTTTGGTTGCAGAAAAGTTGGAACAACCAAAAAGATAAGTTTCAAGCTTTCACAGCTACAAACAATTCCAACATTTTATAAGGTTCAAAATTTTGTTTCGTTGCCCTATAGATAGTTAGCAATCTCTACTCAAACAATTACTTTCAACTACTAAGTGATGCTTATAA